AATCAGTATTTCCAAAAACTACGCGTCCGTGTACTTTCGTTTAGACAACGTGCGTGTGTGTTAGAGCCCGGCCGATACAGATACAAATATTTAATGGTTTTAAAATCCGATATTCCGATATATCGGCCGATATTTTTTATTTTTTTCAGGAACGCACAACAAAACATTAACAGATTTCCCTAACATTCGTTATTTGTAGTTATATATGAGTTTCAATTAAAATAAAATGATAATGCATTTTAAAAAGAAACTTGTTTCTTTTATTGTCGCAACAGAAAAGATGAGGAACCAAACCTCATTAATTAATAAACAAAGCTCATTAAATTCTACTGATAATAGTGGCATTAGCTAGCTTTGTGGTTAGCTAGAATGTGTTGCGCGTTATAAACGAGTGTAGAGTGCCCTCTGGTGGACAAAATACACAACTCCAACATGACATGGTTGAAGTGCGTTTCGTCCTTTTTTATTTTATTTTTGAAATATTCATTTATCGGCCATTATAACTGCCGATACCGATAGTTTGGAAAATGCCTAATATCGGCATGCCGATATATTGGTCTGGCTCTAGTGTGTGTGTGTGTGTGTGTGTGTGAATGTGCTTGTATTTGCAAGTGTATAAACGAGAATGAAATGACAGAATGAAGCAATGGTAAAAAGACAACAACGATAAGAAGAAACAGCAGATGGGAGTCAAACGCACGGTCAAATGATTTGTCATGATTCTTCTATAATTGTTGATTATCGTGGAAATCCATCTTGTAAATCAAATAAACTTGACTTTTCCCCTTTAAACTAACAATTTCACAGTATTATTGATCAATTCCAGAAACTTTCCAAAACATTCAAAATTTTGAACGTTCATCTCCATATTTGAATGGCTTATATTAAATTGAATAAACGCATAATTTGTTGCAATATCATAATTAGTATTGCACTTAAACAACAAGTCCACTTGATCCATTCGCTGCTGGAATCCCAGAGTGCATCCCTGTGGTAAACACAGCACCTGCTCTTTTCAGGGCAAGTGTATCTCTGTGTGTATTGATTGGAGCGATATTTCATACGCCGGCCGGAGAGAGAGAGCCGAGTCCCTGAGCAGAGATCCTTGGACGACCAACACCGCGCTGCTATATCCAGGCTTGTTAGCGCTCGGCTCAGCCAAACGCTTCCACTGTGCTAACAAGCAGCATCTAACGGCAAGGTCATCCACTCAGACAAGTACCAAGAGTGTGTGTGTGACCTCTTCATGACTCCTGACACCAAACCGATAAGGGTCCCGGAGATAATTACACCACCACCGGTGGACCGGGCTGAGAGCTACGAGTGTGTGTATGGAAGAGAACGAGAGATGCAGTCGTGAGTGTCAGAAGAGAGTCATGTGATCCACCGATACGGTGTAATTATATATTTAATACTGAATAATATTAATCATCTACATGTACTTACTAGTTGCATGCAATTATGCATAATAGAGTTATGTTTAGGGTTAGTTGCATGTAATTATGCACAACTAACGGTCATTACTATGAATGAATGAATGAATGAATGAAAAGTTTTTATTTCTAACATGTAGAAAAAAAAAAAAAAAAAAAAAAAACAACAACAACAAATTTAACAAAAATTTGTCAAATTTGTCAAATTATCAAATTTTTATGCTTCTTCCTACTCCTTTTCGGACATGTATAAGCTTATTCAATCCCACCCCATCTTCAACTAATTATAACTAATTAACCGGTTGACCGAATATTTTGATCTATTTGTCTCTACACACCAAAAACAAAAACAACATACATATCTACCTATGTGTATATACACATCTTCAAAAAATAAATAAAAACTAATAATAATAAAAAGAGAGAAAAAAAATGAAAAATATATATATGAAGAGTTCAGATGCAAAAGCCTCTAAATGCCATTTGAAATTTTCTTCTAAAATGACCATTTTTATCAAGCTTGTATATTTAAGTTCAGTAATTTCACTTAAATGACAATTAATGGTAATCTTCATTGCCATTTAAGTGAAATTACTGAACTTAAATATACAACTTTGATAAAAATAATCATTAAAGAAGAAAATTTCAAATGGCATTTAGAGGCTTTTGCATCTGAACTCTTCAAATAAACTTCATCCTCTCTATACCTTGCAAATATCATATTGATAGAGTCATACTTGGGCAGAGTTTAAGTACTGAACTTAATCTGTTCCACAACTTCACTCCACATATCGAAACACAAAAACTTTTTAATGTCGTGCGTACACATAATTGTTTAAAGTTGCTCTCACTTCTAATATTATATCTCCCTTCTCGATTAAAAAACAGTTGTTGAATATTACCAGGGAGTGGGTTATTTTTTGCTCTATACATTATTTGTGCTGTTTGAACATAAACCAGATCAGTAAATTTCAACGTCTTGGATTTTAAAAGTAATACATTTGTGTGATCTCTATAACCAGGCTCTTTTTTGCAACATAATAAATAAAGATAATAGTCAATTAACTATAGCAAGAACATGTAGTAATGTGTAACTGTAGCTTTAAAATAAAGTGTGGCCTCGTCGTAAATCTCCTCATCGTCGTCTCCAGTTTGAGAAGCTCCGGTTCGGACGGCTTCGTTTATTACGACGGGAGTGTGTGAGAATCGTGTGCGGCTTCGGTGATCGCGACTCCAAAATACGAGCGCGGCTAAGAGGATCAGAGCGCACCGTTTAGTCACTGTCTTGATTTAATGATGTATAAAACAGCAATTAATTAATTCAGGAACAGCGCTCGCAGCTCGTTCGGGTGTGTGGACACACATAAAATGGAGTCGGCCCACACACAGACCAGATATTTAAATGCAACTTCTATTAATCAAAACGAATCGGGAATATAAAATAAAGCAAAAAAAAAGCGAAAAGCAATTCCTCTTCACTGCTCTCGCTCTACCTCTCTCTCTCTCTCTCTCTCTTCACCTCTCTCTCCACCTCTCTCACTCCACCTCTCAATTCAATTCAATTCAATTCAATTCAGAAAGCTTTATTGGCATGACAAAAAATACATTTTGTATTGCCAAAGCGTCAAAACAACATAGAAAATGATTTGGAACATTTAGTACACAAAATATTAAAACTGATATCATAAAACAATAATAATAAAATGAACAGATTAATAAATAAAATAAAATGGATTTAGAAATCATATATATATATATATATATATATATACATAAAAAGAACAATATTGAACATTATATACATGTGTGTATATCTCTCTCTCTCTCCACCTCTTTCTCCACCTCTAATTCAATTTTTTTCAACTTTTTTTTTCTCTCTCTCTCTCCACCTCTCGCTCCACCTCTCTCTCCACCTCTCTCTCTCCAATTTCAATTAAATTTTTCTCAACTTGTTTTTTTCTCTCTCTCTCTCTCTCTCTCCACCTCTCTCTCTCTCCACCTTACTCTCTCCACCTCTCTCTCTCCAATTTCAATTAAATTTTTCTCAACTTGTTTTTTTTTCTCTCTCTCTCGCTCTACCTCTTGCTCTACCTCTCTCTCCACCTCTCTCTCTCCAATTTTAATTCAATTTTTTTCAACTTTTTTTTTCTCTCTCGCTCCACCTCTCTCTCGCTCCACCTCTCTCTCTCTCTCTCTCTCTCTCTCTCCACCTCACTCTCTCCAATTTCAATTAAATTTTTCTCAACTTGTTTTTTTCTCTCTCTCTCTCGCTCCACCTCTCTCTCGCTCCACCTCTCTCTCGCTCCACCTTACTCCCTTCACCTCTCTCTCTCCAATTTCAATTAAATTTTTTTCAACTTGTTTTTTTCTCTCTCTCTCTCTCTCCACCTCTCTCCACCTTACTCTCTCCACCTCTCTCTCTCCAATTTCAATTAAATTTTTCTCAACTTGTTTTTTCTCTCTCCCTCTCGCTCCACCTCTCGCTCCACCTCTCTCTCTCTCCACCTCTCTCTCTCCAATTTCAATTCAATTTTTTTCAACTTGTTTTTTTTCTCTCTCTCTCGCTCTACCTCTTGCTCTACCTCTCTCTCCACCTCTCTCTCTCCAATTTTAATTCAATTTTTTTCAACTTTTTTTTTCTCTCTCTCGCTCCACCTCTCGCTCCACCTCTCTCTCTCCAATTTCAATTCAATTTTTTCAACTTTTTTTTCTCTCTCTCTCTCTCTACCTCTCGCTCCACCTCTCGCTCCATCTCTCTCTCTCTCCACACCTCTCTCTCCACCTCTCGCTCCACCTCTCTCTCTCTCCACACCTCTCGCTAACATTGCTCGCTCCACTCTCTCTCTCTCTCTCTCTCTCTCTCTCTCTCTCTCTCTCTCTCCCCCGCTCCACCTCTCGCTCCACGAAATCAATATGTAATTGTCTAGACCAGGAGTTTCCAAACATTATTATCCATTGCAAGGAATCAAAAACCACATAAAACAAACAGATCACTCAAATGAAATAACCGAGTTTAATGTTCTAAAGGTGTTAAAGTCAAAAAATAATATAACTACAAATTCTCTGGGAAAGATGTATTCAGCACATATTCTTTAATGTACATACTGATAAAACTGGGATAAAGTAAAATAAAAAAAACAAATGACACTATTTTAAGGTGATGTAGTTACACTGTACATCCTAATTAACAGCAATATTAACATAGAGATAGGATTTAAGGTGTCCTTGTTACAGTGTGATCATATACTCAAATACTGAGTGATAATAATTAACTGCATGTACGTACTATAGGATTAGGGTTTGATTGAGGGTTAATTGCATGTAATTATGCATAATTTACTGTTATTACTACGGTAAGTACATGTAACAAGGACAACGTAAAATAAAGTGTTATCGGGTTTGGTACTTACTTAATATACTAACTATATACCATATTTATTTACCAAGTATTTTAACACGACTTCTATTAATGGTGAAAAGGCGAAAAGCAATCTCTCGCCCTGAAATGCACAGTTAATGCCTTTCTCTCTCTCGGTTTCCCAGAGTGCCGATGATGAAGCGGCTCACCTTCATCGAACTCGACGTCGTCTTCGGTGTGTTGAGGGAAGGGGAAGCAGTTGGTGATCTCCAGCCGGTCCTCCACCACCAGGCCCAGCAGCACCCCCTGCACCACCTCACTGCCCTGGCCCTCCTCCTGGTAGTGCTTGATGATCTTCAACACCACCTGCACACACACACACACACACACACACACTGCATGATCAGGGACATGTCTCGTGGATCCGTGCAAACTGAATAATATCTGATGCAATTTCTCTCCCCTAAAGGCATTTGAAATGTCTTTGTGTCGCCTTTGCAGGAGCAGAAACAACGTGTGTGTGTGTGTGTGTATGTGCATTTATTGCTGAAAGATTAGTGAGGTGTAACCAGGTACACCACTGCACACACACACACCTGTTAGCACTTCACTACGCATGTCAAACACCACGTTTTTAAAAGCTACGAATCTAATTAAAATATTAAAAATTAACATCGAAACAAAAATACACTGGTTTTCGGTATGATTCGGTATACAGCCCAGCACTATAATAGATCAAATATAATACACTTAAAGGAGTAGTTCACTTTAAAAAAAAAAAAAAAACTTTTGCTGATAATTTACTCGCCCCCGTGTCATCCAAGATGTCCATGTCTTTCTTTCTTCAGTCGAAAAGAAATGAAGGTTTTTGATGAAAACATTCATATAATGGACTTCAATGGGGTCCAAACGGTTCAAGGTCCAAATGAGAGTTTCAGTGCAGCTTCAAAGGGCTTTAAACGACACCAGACGATGAATAAGGGTCTTATCAAGCGAAACGATCACTCATTTAATAAATAAATAACAAAGTTTAAGTTTTATAAGCTCAAACACTCGTCTTGCTCTGTTCGTGACTCTCCTGTTCGAACTCGTTCATCAAAATGAACGAATCTTTTTTCGAGTCATGACTCGAGGGTTCTAGATAAGACCCTTATTCATCGTCTGGTGTCGTTTAAAGCTGCACTGAAACTCTCATTTGGACCTTGAACCGTTTGGTCCCCATTGAAGTCCATTATATGGAGAAAATCCTGGAATGTTTTCATCAAAAACCTTCATTTCTTTTCGACTGAGGAAAGAAAGACGTGGACATCTTGGATGACACGGGGGTGAGTAAATCAGAATTTTTTTTTTAAGTGAACTACTCCTTTAAAAAGTGTATTTTGGATGTTTTCCTGCCATTGGTCTGAAAATGACCCGTGCACGATTGACTTTCCCAATCAGACATGTTTCTAAAAACACAACAATATTCATATCTTTGCATATTGTGTGTAATCGAGATGTAGTAAAACAGGGATCATGTGATGCGTGACATTGACGTTAACACCAGGCTTATGTTCACTGCAAGCTTCAATCTGCAGATTGGATATCAATCTCCAAGCGAGATTGCTGCTCCATCCTCACGGTAGTTTGGTCCACTCAGAGCCGAGCGCATGGAGAAAGACCCGGGGTTAATGGAAGAACAAATACACTCACTGTCTAATTACGCCGTCTGTAAAGCCTCTCTGAATACCAATCCGCCGGGTTTACTGCGCTCTACAGAAGACAGAACATCTTCAACCCCCTCGAGAGCGCTAGCTCACTCGCCCCAAGGCATGATGGGATACATTGGCGTTTCTCAAAAGGGACACATCATTTCATATCCCCAATATCAGGAGGAGAAGTGCACTAGTCCATCTGTAATTACACAGCGAGGTGAAGCATTTAAAGCCGACGCGTCGGAAGTCACATGTTCAGCTGATAAGAACAGCAAGCCGCGAATCATTCACTCCTGTTGGGTTCTGCGAATCATGCCGTTCGGGTCGAGGGCTGTCGAAGCTGAACTTCAATCTATTTCTTAAATATGAGCAAAATTAAAATTCTAAAGGCAAAACTGTAACAGGAATAAAGTACTGTATTGTCTCCTGTGTCCACAAGAGGGCGCCATAAGCAAATATAAATCAAATCAATCGCATCTTATTTAAATGAAATGAAAATTCACTTTTTAAATAATTGTTCTTAAGTTACAATTTCATTAATGTACATGCATGGAAAATTAGGTACAATTAGTTTGACCAATATTGCTTTTTTGATATCTTAGAGATCAGGGTGGCTGATATTAAATGTATCTATATACATACACACTTTATATTCATGAATAAAATAAATTATTAATTAAATTAAACATAAAATATAATGTGTGCGTGTATATATATAAACATAGATTTTATATTTACTTTAATCAATATTTAGTAAATTTAAATATTAAACAAATTACATTTAAATATATATTTAAATTTAAAGAAATATTTTATTTATTTATTTAGGATTATTAAGAACACCTGTTCAATTTCTCATTAATGCAATTATCTAACCAACCAATCACATGGCAGCTGCTTCAATGCATTTAGGGGTGTGGTCCTGGTCAAGATATATATATATATATATATACACATATATATATATATATATATACACACACACACACACATCATAAAAATGGATGTATAATTTAAAAAAAAATCTATTTTATATATTGAGCATTTACAATATATAAATTATAATTTAAATTAAAATGTATATATTTTACATGTTATACATGTATAAATATTTTAAATGTATATAAACATGTAAATATTTATTATTTTACACAGTACACACACATATGATGTAAACAAAAACTTTTGTTCTGCGAACGATTAGTTGCGATTAATCGTTATACCGCCCTCAAGTTAATGACTTATGTACAATGTCACTACATCAACTTAAAATAAAATGTAACGCATTTTTTGACAGCCCTATTCACTTCCATTAACACTTATATTTTATTTTTCAGACCGCTGGGATTAACCAATCAGAGTCGAGTATTCCAGAGAACCTTCAGATCAATTATTTCAAGCCATTAAAGGAACCGCTAAGCCACCGAAATCATTACGTGAACAAAATCCCATCGGCATCCCGAAGCCACATGGATCAAGTCCACCATCATTTACCACAACATTCATAAAACACTGAGCTGGAGGCAATCTTACACACAACTCTCCGGGTGCGAGTAACATGTCAAGCCCAAATGACCCGACAGAGCTCACCACATCCCAGCTGTAAAGATATATGAAGCTTTTCACTGTGGAGTTGAATTAATTATAGATGGACTCCCTGTAAACAAAGTTACAACCTTTAAAACTGCACACACACACACACACACACACACACACAGCTGATTTCCACACGCGTGGCAGACTCCATGTGCTGTTTCCAGAGATTATGGCTGCTGCTTTGAGGGTTTGTAGCAGGCTTTAAGGTCAGACAGAAGAAAAAACAGAGTAAAGTCAATATTCTCTGAGCTGAACCTGCCAATCGGATCATTTCAAGAGGAGTCGTCCTCTGGAGGAACTGAAGAAACCGTTCCCGGCTTACATCATTCATGAGGGAACACACACACACACACACACACACCTGCGTCGTCAAACGAGTCGAGAGATGCGCGGATGGGCAATGCAGTCGCGACAGCGGACGACACACACACCAAACGCTTACTTTATCTCGAGTTATTTAACGCCATGTCAGCATCATGGAAAAAAATTCAATTTATACAAAAATATCATATAAATACAATAAACCAAGCAAACACACAAGTCATATAAAAATGTTGGTAACACCATTTTACAGTGCACTCTCAGAAAAAAAGGTACAAAAGCTGTCACTGCGGCTGTACCTTTTCAAAAAGCAAACTTTTGTCCATTTTAGGTCCTAATAAGTACATTTTATTTGCTAATATGTCCATTTCAGGAGCTAATATGTCAATTTTAGGTCCTAATATGTACATTTTAAGTGTTAATATGTACATTTTATTTGCTAATATGTACATTTCTGGAGCTAATATGTCCATTTTAGGTCCTAATATGTCCATTTTAAGTGTTTATATGTCCATTTCAGGAGCTAATGTCCATTTTAAGTGTTTGTCAATTTTAGGTGGTAATATGTCAATTTCAGGAGCCAATAGGTCCATTTTAGGTCCTAATATGTCCATTTTAAGTGTTTATATGTCAATTTCAGGAGCTAATATGTCCATTTTAAGTGTTTATATGTCCATTTTAAGTGTTTATGTCCATTTCAGGAGCTAATATGTACATTTTAAGTGTTTATATGTCAATTTTAGGTGGTAGGTAATATGTCAATTTCAGGAGCCAATATGTCCATTTTAGGTCCTAATATGTCCATTTTAAGTGTTTATATGTCCATTTTAGGTGGTAATATGTCAATTTCAGGAGCTAATATGTCCATTTTAAGTGTTTGTCCATTTCAGGAGCTAATATGTCCATTTTAAGTGTTTATATGTCCATTTTAGGTGGTAATATGTCAATTTCAGGAGCCAATATGTCCATTTTAAGTGTTTATATGTCCATTTTAGGTGGTAATATGTCAATTTCAGGAGCCAATATGTCCATTTTAGGTCCTAATATGTCCATTTTAAGTGTTTATATGTCCATTTTAGGTGGTAATATGTCAATTTCAGGAGCTAATATGTCCATTTTAAGTGTTTATATGTCCATTTTAAGTGTCTATATGTCCATTTCAGGAGCTAATATGTCCATTTTAAGTGTTTATATGTCAATTTTAGGTGGTAATATGTCAATTTCAGGAGCCAATATGTCCATTTTAGGTCCTAATATGTCCATTTTAAGTGTTTGTCCATTTTAGGTGGTAATATGTCAATTTCAGGAGCCAATATGTCCATTTTAAGTGTTTATATGTCCATTTTAGGTGGTAATATGTCAATTTCAGGAGCCAATATGTCCATTTTAGGTCCTAATATGTCCATTTTAAGTGTTTATATGTCCATTTTAATATGTCAATTTCAGGAGCTAATATGTCCATTTTAAGTGTTTATATGTCCATTTTAAGTGTCTATATGTCCATTTCAGGAGCTAATATGTCCATTTTAAGTGTTTATATGTCAATTTTAGGTGGTAATATGTCAATTTCAGGAGCCAATATGTCCATTTTAGGTCCTAATATGTCCATTTTAAGTGTTTATGTCCATTTTAGGTGGTAATATGTCAATTTCAGGAGCTAATATGTCCATTTTAAGTGTTTATATGTCCATTTTAAGTGTTTGTCCATTTCAGGAGCTAATATGTCCATTTTAAGTGTTTATATGTCCATTTTAGGTGGTAATATGTCAATTTCAGGAGCTAATATGTCCATTTTAGGTCCTAATATAAACATTTTAAGTGTTAATATGTACATTTTAGGTGTTAAGTACATTTTAGGTACTAATATGTACATTTTAGGTGCTAATGTGTACCACTAAGGTACCAATATGCAGCCTTTGGGTACAAAAGTTCACCTTTTGAAAAGGTACAGCCCCAGTGACAGCTTTTGTACCTATTTTTCTGAGAGTGTGTCCTTGTTGCAATAAAGTATGCATAATTGCATGCAACTAACCCTCAACCAAACACTAATCCTATACCCTATAATAAGTGCATGGAGTTGCTTAATATTATTCAGTATTAAATATATAAAATCACCCTAACAATGACACCTGGGTTACACTTTATTTTAAGGTGTCATTGTTACAGTGTGATCATATATTTAAGTACCGAGTAATATTAATTAACTAAAACATGTACTTACTACTATAGGGTTAGGGGAGGATTAGAGTTGTTGAGGGATAGTAACAGGTAATTATGCATAATTAATAGTCACTACTAAGGCCGTCAAACAATTAATCACGATTAATCGCATCCAAAATAAAAGTTTGTGTTTACATGATATACCTAAGTGGGCACAATAATAATAGTTTACAAATATGAAAACCTTTTCACAATATTCTAATATTGAATTTGGGGTTTTCATATCTGTAAACTATTATAACAAATAAAGGCTTGAAATATCTCACTTTGCATGTAATGAGTCTATATAATATATTAGTTTCACATTTTAAGTTGAATTACTGAAATAAATGAACATTTGCACGATATTCTAATAATATGATGCCTTCATTATGTGTGTCAGTGAGGAAAGAAAGTTGTAAATGTAGTTTATGTTGCTGTAAATAAATATTTAATAATAAAATAATATTGGCTATTATAATATAATATATCTTATCTGATTGGCTCATTGACTCCCATGAACCCCATCAATCCGCCAGTCGAGCCGAAGGGTCTGGGGTTTTAACACCGGTTCAAACACACACACACACACACACACTCGTTCTCCTCAACCAGCTAGAAGACAATCCCAGAATACTAAATGAAGACATGCGTTGCAGACGACACACACTCCCATCAGAGCAACACTTCATCTTCTGATCCCTGAACTCGGGAGAATTGCCAGTTCTATTTCTGATCTGAGCTTTGGTTGTGCGATGATGACTAGCACTCTCTCTCGCTTTGAGACGACGCTAACACACGCCTGAAGCTAGCAGGTAAATGCGCTAACACACTCCCCGCGGATCACCTGACGTGAACGGCTGTCCGTGTCAGACAGCGGAGGACGGACACTGACGACTAGCCCGCTCCGCTACGCCGAGGCCCATGATGCATCTTCATAAAACAGTTCTCGAACAATCGCGCGCTAAACGAACAGCTTCTGACAGTGTCGTAACTCGTACTTCAGATCTGGACGAGGAATCTCTAACCTGAGGCCTCAGAAACAGCTCAACTTTAAAGTCCACATCAAATCAAAATCGAATATGTTAGCTTTAATGTTATCGAAACGCTAGTGCGCTCCAAAAACAATGACATTCGCATTTAGAAAATATAAGCGTTCAAAACCTAGTCTTCCACTTCCGCCATGATGATTAATTATTCTGATGACATCACTCCGCACTTCAGCGTCTCATCAGATTTCCCGTCCAAAAATTTTACTTTCACAAGCAAAGATTTCTTATGAAAATTATGAGTTTTTATGTGAAGTAAATTATTTAATCAAATCTCTTAGGAAAATTGATAATAGAAAATGTTTTTCTTTTCTGAAGAAATATGATGAGATCTTTCATGTACCAAGATGATTAGTAGCCTACCTGTTTGCTGTTTGTTTTATTTTATTTATTTTGTTTGTTTCTTTTTTCACTCTTCTTTCTTTCTTTATTCTGTTTATGCAAGAATGATTCTACTTGATCAATATATACATTGTTGAAATGATCCAGATGTTTAAGAGGCGCATGTTTGCACTATTGTAAAGCAATTTTTGAAAAAAAAATTAAAAATAATAATAAAAAAAAGATCATCAACCGAAAAAAAAAAGAGAAAGATTTTCTGTCCAATCAAATGCTCTACAGAGTCTGAAGCCCCGCCCCCTTATTAGTGTTGGGTATCGTTCGAATTTTAGCAATTCCAGTTTCGACTTCGATTCCCATTCTTATCGATTCCAATATGGTAAAAAACTAAATGAAGTCAAATATTTAGGCTAATTTGAAAATTGTCAACATTAACATTACAGTCAATTAATTTGTTGTTCGTTTTTTGTTATTAATTAGTTAATATATTTTTGTTTAAAAAAATATATATATGTATATATATACACGAGTAGAATTTCCTAACCTTAAATTAACAGAATTGTATATATTGTTCCCAAAATGTGAATATAACGTTGTCAAAATTGGATAAATATTGGATACAGGCATGACCACAATTCTTAGCACAAACATTAAATTAAAAGTTCACTCAAAATTAAAATTGTCATCAATATTGATGGAGAGGAAGAAAATGAATTAGTACTATCAAAATTCCCTGACATTAATTACAGACGATCATCCGTCACAGCAAACCTCATTTGTGTTCAAACTTCAATCAGTCATGTGACACACGAGAGCCAATAACACAGGCTGTCAATCAATGACACATCTAAAGTCAATGCTTATTTTTATTATCATTTAACAAGCGTAAACGAGATTTGAGAACTCTGGATGAGATTAAAAAAATAGCAATTTGGATAATGAGTTTCAGTCTGCTAACCAACCAAAGGCAAAATACTGCAAAAAAAAAAAAAAAAAAAAAAAGATCAAATACACAGCCTTTTTTTTGGAGAACTGAGCAGTTGTAAATCATCTACTCTCATTATATGTAAAAGAGCAGATCTATCCGTCCGCCCAACATCTTCTCCTGTGCTCACAGACGAAAACACAAACACAACTGCAACTTTAAGGATGGGTGAAAATAATGCTAATTGGAAAGAATGAAGGTCAACCAGAGTCCGAAACATAGCGGATAATCACAGAGTGTTTTCTTGAGACAACATCGCCCTCTTTTGGCAGGGATGTATAGTGCATCCATAAACACACACACACACACACAAACACTTCCATCCAGGCGCATTACTGTGACGTTAATTGGAGGGTTTAGTCCAAAAGCCAAACTACAATCTCTGTACTCGAACTTCAGCCGTTATCTGACGGGAATCGCCGGTTTGTGTGAAGAAACGCTAGCAGAATGAGTTGGAAAATAACACATAAAAAACAGACACGTAACAGATGAAAGAAGCTGCAAAAATACAATAAGCAAAAAAAAAAGTCTTGGCACAAGTTGCGTTTACAGAGCTAATGATATGACATTTACCCAATTATAGTCACAAATCATTTCTATCTCAAATAAATGTTATTTTGAACTCTCTATTCAAAGAATCCTGTAAAATAAAATGTATGACAGTTTCTACCTAATTGTGAAGCTGTTTTCAACACTGATAATCATAAATGTGTCTTGAGCATCAAATCATCATGCGACACTGAAGACTGGAGTAATGATGCTGAAAATTGATCATTGATCACAGGAATAAATGACACTTTACCATATATTCACATAGAAAACGACTTTTAGACAGCAACTAACATACATTTCATAATTCTTACTGCGCATATATATATATATATATATATATATATATATATATATAGCTTACAGACCCTAAACGTTTGATCGGTAGCAATCATCATTCACAAAAACAACAATATCAAAATGTACAGTATAAGATACGCTGTACACTTTAAAATATACTTCACTGATGGTTAATTTCAAAATAAGAGTCGCGATTTGGCGGGTTAAATATGCGATTCTCAGTTATTTCAACCTAAATTTAAAAGCAAAAATGCTGTATTTGGGATATTATTTACTTAAATTAATTTATTGTAAAGTTCTCATTGTATTTTTAGTAAGGCCAGAAACCATGTTCACTTTAGAAGCTGGGTAACGTTATATCTCAAACTACCATGGTTTATCGTTATAGCAGATGATAGCCATCTACAACCACTATACATTAATGCCATGTTGAAACCCTGGTAGTACTATAGTACATGTCCACAAAACTAGTGAGTTAACAGCATTACTGTGTTGATTTTCCCCAGTGTTTCATTGCTGTTCGAGTAAACGATGAACGCTGAGCTCCCCCTGCCACCCTTCAGCCCGAACAACACACAAACATCATAATAGCATACATAATGATCACTCACCAGCCCGTCGATCTGGATCTGCTTCACCGGGGAATCCAGAGGACTGGAAGCCGAAGCTGCGGGTTCTTTACGGGTCGCCATTGTCGGAAGAAGAGCGGAATCGGGTCGAAGCACATGGAAGAAGGTTCTTCCGGAACAATGCGACCACTTCCGGCGCGAAGACTCTTCAAAATAAGAGCCGCAGTTCAAGTCGCCTTTATTTATATAGCGCTTTTTAAAATACAGATTGTTTCAAATCAGCTTTTCTGAGATAACAGAAAAAATAAAGCAACGAAGTTTGTTTCCAGAAGGAAATAGCGACATAGTCCAACTTAAGTACGTTCAGTGATGGTTCAATTTCAAAATAAAAGTCGCGATTTGGCGGGCTAATATGCTTTCTCCATCCTAAATTTAAAAGCAAAATGTTGTATTTTGTATATTAATCACGTAATAATTAAGCAACTCACGCAAAAGTTGACTGACCACGCAATGGCAGCATATTATTATTAGCATGTGAAACATTGCATTATTGAACGGTAAACGTTTGAAACGGTAGTATGTTATAATGTCGTCATAACTTATTACTGCAGTCATCTTCATTACAATTAAAATGTTTCGTGGGTTTGTATGCTTGTAAAAGCCTGGTCAAATAATTATTTTAGCAGAACATTACCTTGCTTAGTGTCTCCTATTAGGTTTTCTAGATTCATAAATAATTTACATTATACACACACACACACACACTAAATAACCAGGTAAAATGAGAGGAACATAACTGACTTTCAATCCATATCAAAATTTAATCAAGTGCATAAAAATTCCAATTTTATTTAGTTTAAGAAACCTTTAATAATCATAATTGCCATTAAAAGAGAGATACAAAACATTGAACTATTGTGTAATTAAATCCAAATGGGTTTCCAAAAATAAACCTTTGTCTCTCAACGGTGACATTATTAAAAAGTTAAAAATGTACACATAACTAACGTACTACAAATGTAAAACTCAAAGGGATAAAGCTTATGAAGGAAAATAAAAACAGAACAATGAGGAGGGAAGAAAACCAAACAAGTAGTGAATCCGAAAGATCCCGACGGTCTCGTCAATATAGAGGTCCAACGTGTACTAAGCATTTAACAACTTATACTTTGTGGATACAATGTTTTCATGATCTTCCATGGGTTTGACTTGAAACTTGACAATCTTTAAATTGGCCCCGAATAACAAAAACAGATACAAAAAGCAACAGTAGCAAAACAAACCTGTTAAATACAACTACTAAAAACAGAACGGAGTCGGCGTCTATACAATGTGGAAGCGCGGGCCGGGCGTGGCCACGATGTCGCTGTAGGGCTCGGCCTGCGTCAGCTCGATGGCCTGCTGCTTCTTCAGCACCAGGAAGCTGTAGAACTTGGCCGCCGCCTGCTTCTTGTTGTTGTTTCTGCACAGATCCAGGAGGCTGATGGACTCGGCTCCGGTTTTAGCCACCACACGCTGTCAAACACAACAGAGACTGAGAAAACATTCTGCATCTCATATGTACTTTCAAAACCTGGGTTGCTGCTATGTGCCTTATAATAGCATAATAATGTCTATCTAGTAGGGCTAGGTAATAAATATCTATTTCTCAATATTAATCGATTCTCATTTTTACAAACCGATATCGATTCTTATATCTCAAGAATCATCCTGTCATCCTGATTCATTTGAACCCAAAAAAAAAAAAAAATCCTTTGTTACTATTGACATGAAAAAGTCTAAATTTTCAAATTACGTCCATTTTCTTTAGAAATTCAAAAACATAAATAGTGTTTTGTCGCTGTGGCGTGAGATCGCTCTGGAGAAGCAGCAGCGCTGATCTCTCTTCCGGCTTAATAATACCAGTCACAGCGCCAAATAAACATGAATGAGCATCTGAAAGTGTGTTAAAGATAGAGGACAACTTATCCAAATCCGTATCATGTCACATTGATTCGCTCAATCAGCGTTTCAACCGTAGAAAGACGTCAGTTAAACAGCTTGTAATCAATGTCATCGTCATATTTACCTCAGAAAACCCACATAAACTCGTTAGTCAGCTAGAAAAAATAACTCTAGAGAGGAGCATTTTGCTAAATATATACACCATATTACATATGCATTATAATCTTAATGTTCTTCAATATTTAATGCATATTTGAGTTTTTATGACAGCCACCATTTAAATGTTTATATTTCATACAATCTTCTTATTATAAAAATAAATAAAAGTGTAATTTAAGTGTTTGAATAGCTACAAAACAGTTCATTATTAATTTCATATAAAGCCTAGTAGGCTACAACTAGACTCCCGTAGTTTACAGCATTAGTTAAGAGATTTGATTCCCTTGAGGAAATTTGCCAGTTATTGTAACTGATATCCAAAATAATCAATATTGAATCGAAATCGAATTGCAAGCTTGTGAATCGAAATCGAATCGAATTGTGAAATTTGTCAATACCCAGCCCTACTATCTAGGTTAACATTAGAGTGAGCGACATGTACAGTTGCTGCTACTTGCATGTTTCAAGTGATTAGCCATATCTGATGTTGATAAATGATAAGAAAATGTTTGGATTTCCTGCCGATAACGTCTGTGTGATTTCGCAGGGTTTTGTCGACTAATAAAAATGTGATCGACTAACGGTTAATATTAGGGGGCGGCCCTAATTAATAGTTATTCAGACACCTCTAGCATTATCTCACATTATCACAGTTTATTCGCTATAGTTTAGTAAATAGTAATAAAATATGAGCAGAGTTCTCAGATCAGTGGATATTTGACTGGTTTTGTCCGTCCTTCTGTTGGACTCTCACATATGAATTATGTTGAATATCTGTTAAATTTAACCACACAATTAGATAATAGCAGTTTAGCTCAACCAGTGACCAAGCAATGCTTCATGTTGAATAATGTCATTGGTAGTCACTGTATGAAGAATATTTGGGTGTAATATACGAGTTTACTTTATTTTGCTCTCCTCACTTACAGAAATTAACTATAGAGTCCTGATCACACTAGTAAAAAAAATGATATCTGGTGTGTGAATAATTTTTGGCTCGACTGTATATCGTCCAAACACAAACCTGAAGGCCGTGCAGCATCTGCTGAGTCCTCTTGTTCCACCGCCTCTCCTCTTGGTCCTGGTCTCCTTGTCCCTCCTCGCCCTGATGTTCAAAACAAATCCAACAATTATCAGTAACACCAATATTGGAGCTGCATCGTTAGAAGATCGCGATTCAAACACACGTGAGCTTATTCTGAAATGACACAGTGAACGATTTGCTTTGCAAACACACGGGATCATTTTCAAACACACTGCATCACTGAAGCGGTTCAAATAAAGTAAATAATCTTTGCTTCAGATGAAGATTGTATGTTACATCGTTGCGACAAAGTGTCTCAAAATGTACTTGTCATTCAATCATTCATTCAAGAGATTCGTTCAAAAATGTTGATTCATCTTGTAATGAACCAAGTGAAGTCCTCATGAGCAGTGTTGGGTGTAACTAATTACTAAGTAATTAGTTACTGTAATTTAATTACTTTTCCCTTGAAAATGTAAAGTAAGGGATTACTCTTCATTTATCTGTAATTTAATTACAGTTACTTCTGATGTAATTGAGGTAAATACTGTGTATAGATCAATCCGATCTCACAGCGATTCGTATGCATTTTATGAGGCGTCTAAATCGTACGACCGCACTCGTACAAATTCATTGTAAAATATGTATGAAAAAAGTGTGAAATATCATGAGATCAGACACAAAAAAATCGTGGGTTTAACATCAAAATGTATTGTCTGATGCTAAAAAGTATGTTTTTATAATGTAACCTTCTCCACCTTGGTCAGTTTAAGGATAATTAATGCAATTTTATAGTATTTATTTGAAAGAATTAAAACAGATTCATGTCTATCCTTGTATTATTCAGCTGGTTGAGATTTTTGAAAGTAATTAGTAATTAAAAGTAATTAAACACTTTTCAGAGAGAGTAATTAGTACAGTAATCTAATTACACTGTTGAAGAGGTAATTAGTAACTAGTAATTAATTACTTTTTTAGAGTAACTTACCCAACACTGCACATGAGCAAGTTAGTGAATCATGAAAATATTATTTCTTAAATCGACTACATTAACATTTTGTCAGAACCTCTAGTAAACTTCATGATATTTGGTTTAGTCGTCTATTCAGAATCGTGAAGTGTTTTGAGAGATTTCACCTCTTCGTCGCTGTCGTCCTTGTCCTTCTCCTTGCCCTTGTCGTCGAGCAGGTCCAGTTCTGGCACCAGTGTAGAGAGGTTTGTGATGTCCTCAGGAGGAAGATCCACTTGGGGCATCTCGAGCTCATGGGAAAGGACCGACTGATCCACGGGCTGAAGCGTCTGATCCAACACTGCCATTTGCTGGAAAGACAATTGTGCACAGAACATTTACTATCCCTCTGGAGCGCTTTGGTCAATTCGGGGAAAAAATTACTTTTTTTTTTACACTTCATGGTAGGGCTGGGCAGTATATCAAGTTTGTACGATATATTTTTGTGAAACGAATATATATATGAAGAGTTCAGATGCAAAAGCCTCTAAGTGTCATTTGAAATTTTGTTCTAGAATGACCATTTTTATTGAGCTTGTGTATTTAATTCAGTAATTTCACTTAAATGACAATGGGCTTTATGCCCAGCTGCACTACTTCCTGAACTTCAGCCAGCTACTTGTTTCCTGTATGCAGTTATTGGCCAAATTGATTAATCCAGGTGTGCCTGACCTCAGTTGTCATGGCAACAATAATCAGACACACCTGAATTAATCAATTTGGCCAATAATGGCAGACAGGAAACAAGAAGCTGGCTGAAGTTCAGGAAGTAGTGCAGCTGGGCATAAAGCCCATTAATAGGTAATCTTCATTGCCATTTAAGTGAAATTACTGAACTTAAATATACAAGCTTGATAAAAATGATAATTTTAGAAGAAAATTCCAAATGGCATTTCAAAATTTATATATATATATATCGATACAGTAGTTTGATATGAGCACATCTGAAAAATAGCGGAGGTCGCAGTGTGAGCTGCTGCAGTGTACAATTTGTCCTAAACATGACACAAGCTTATATTAAGGGCTTCAAA